TCCTTCAGGCGATCTCTGTCGAGAAGCCTTTTGTGGATTGCTGCTTCACCTTCTAGCCGATTTCTCAAAGCTGGTCCACGCTTCTCATTGTCGAGCTCAGTAATATCACACCAATCGTCGATCGCATCTTCATAGGCAAACCAACTGCTTCTACCATCATAAGATGGAGGTACTTTAGTGGTCACCTGCTGGAAAGCTGAAAGACGGTGTAGTTCATTGAGATGACGATGATTAGTCGCGAAAGATTCACTGCCATGAAGGAGGTAGTCATCATCTCCTCCATCATGCTCAAAGATTGTCGCAGAGTGGCTAGCCATTGCGCTGTTCTAGGATCGAGCCCCGGGAGATTCCTCTTCCGGTTATCTCCACTTGAGTGAAGTGTGCCGGAGAGAATCCGGTCACCTTCACCTGAGTGAAGCACACCGGGTATTCCGGTTGCCTCCACCTGTGTAGAGAGTACCGAACGGGTACCTCCACAGATGTGAAGCTTCCCGTTTCCCGGGAGCTCCGCTACCACGTTGAGATGTAACCTGGACGTGTATCCCCTCGCTAGGCGTACAGGAACACAGGCACTCAGGTGTCTCCTTTACTACAGGCGCACAGCTGTAGTCCAGTGTCTGCTAGAACCTTGAGCAACAGGCATGGATACATGCAAGTGATACGTGAAACAGATAGGCACCTGGATGTGTAACATTCAGTGTTTCACCCCCCACCCCCCCCCACCCCCCCGCCCCAATCACACCGCACAGACTTGAAAGACAAATGCAAGTCGAAGCCGGCATGTGCAGAAAGTCGAGAGATGGCCAAAACACTGCAAAAACCGATGGAAATGCGACAGACACAGGAAAACACAGAAAAAAACGATGCGAAAGGATGAGCTGAGCATGTTGTTGGACAATGCAGTGCGCCAAATGCGGGCTTTTTTTTGTAGAAAATACCGCAAATACCGATGCGAAAACAAAAACCCAAATTTTTTGTCCAAGGGCCAAAGTGCCAAAACTCGAGTTTCAGCACATGCCAGCCAAGAAATCGCACCACCCCACGCGGCGGCAGACGCACGTGCTGCCAACAACAACAACAACAACAACAACTACAACTACAACTACAACTCGACTACTACGACTACTACCATTACTGCTACTACTACTACTACTACTACTACTACTACTACTACTACTACTACTACTACTACTACTGCTACTATGCAGGAGGCAAAAACTAGCTCGATATTATCCAATTGGCATACGCCAGTCTACCCTACCCAGAACAATCCCACGCGTGTGGCGCCACGTACGTGCAACTTGTACCGGTGCGTGGAATCCTTTCTGATCTGGGACCGCAAGTCGCAAAAGTGACGAGGGGCGCTTAGGCAGCAGTTTAGATTTTAAACCAGATTTTATATAGTTTGAGCCAGGGGTTTTGCGCGAAAGTTCTTTCTTTTTTTCTAGCGTCGAAAATCCGGGCCAAGGCCCCCTTCTGCTTGCTGAGTCTACATTCGGGCTGCTTTGCGGGGTTCCCTTTGGCTGGCTCGATTAATACTTTTTGGAATGCCGGGTTTGGGCTCGGGGCTTGGATTGAAAGCTTTTCTGCTTCTGATTTGGAAACAAAAAAGGCTCGGTAATTTTTGCTCGCAGAACGGGTTAACTCCGGGACGGGGCGCCGGAGGGGGCACCCTGGTCTTTTTTCTACTTGGAGAGCAGAACTCTACCCATTTTCTTTCAGGGACCTGGGGCGGCCTTCGAAACGCAACGTCGGACGGATCTACGGCAGGGACAAAAGCGTGCATGTTGGGCAGTCTTGGCAGGATGTGCCTAGGCCGGACGCAGCAAATCGCGGCGTGTGCGTTTGCCGAACTTTGTAAGGAAGTTCCTCCGTTCAAAACTTCCTAGCCGCTGACGTTGTCCTTGAGTGCAAGCCAGCATGCACCAGCTCATTCCACATGCCTGTGCACGTGCTTGAAATGTTGTGGTCTGGTGGTTTTGCAGCTTTGGAATTGGCCATGGGCGAATTGAAACTCAACCGTCATTTTTTGGCGTTTCTGGATTAAGACACACGGCAGTAATGCCACGTGTTGTGGTCCTGAAGGTTGGAATGTGCTTCCTCGTGACTGCGAGGACGAGCTATTCTGGACCGCCGCGTGTCAAATGTGCTCGGCTTCAGGCCTTGCTCATCGGGGTTGGTCGCGGAGGAGGCTATAGCTGTAGCGTGGACGCCATCAAGGGCCAATTCAAACTGCGAGTGCGGCAGGTGCACCCGGACAAGAATCCTGCAGAAGGCGTGACGCGGAACACGCTGCTTTTGAAGGAAGCCTATGCCACCCTGACAGCTGAGGTTGCTGGCATTCTGCGCCGCGGGTATCAGCTCCGAAGACCCAGGCCGCAAAGGCCACTCCCAAGCCTCGGCTCCGATGGCTCCGGTCACTGCTCAACATGGGAGCATCTTTAAGAAGCATCCCGAAAATGGACCGGTCATTCCAGTTCATGGTTCATGGCACAGTGCAAGCACTTCTTGGACATGCTGGCCGATGTGCTGCTCCTTCAGCAGCTGCAGAAACGCCGCAGACAGGAATGCATTGCTTGATGATCTTGGTGTCAAGACGCAGGGGGAATCGTGGACATCAGGGACACACCAGAAGTGATAGCACGGGTGTGCCCCAGGGAAAAACAGGCGCGACCCCGTTTGTTCTGGATGCAGGCGTGGGCTTGCACAAAGAAATTTTTCGTTCAGAAGTTACAGCCTCACCAAGTTCTCCACTGTGCAATGTGGGCATGCACAAAGGCACCTTTCAGCAATTCCGGTCCAAGGGCAGCGTGAGCGCTTTGAGCCGTGTTGCTGATGCGGGACCGCATGAGCACGTGTGAGCCTCCTGCTTGGTTCTTCCCAAGCGGCCAAGCTGCTCTGCTGCTGCTGCTGCACCAAGCAGGTCTAAAGCCGTCCGGAGACACAGCACTTCAAGGTGGTCGGCTGTATGTTTGTGGATGCTGAGTTGCTTTGCAGGGGACTGATGTGGCTGAAGCCAGGACGCCTGACACAGGTTGTGGGCAAGTCTTGGTGGGTAAATGTCGGCTATGCTCCCTCGACTCCGAGCGGATCCACCGGAGCAGGAGTCTTTTCACTGGCTGCAGCGGCGTTTGGCGCAGGAAGTCTTCCAGCTGCAGAATGTGGACAAGTACGACGTGGACGGTGTAGGCTGGGTGGTTGTTGTAAAAGGGGGGGGGTCAAAACAACAGACGGGGCTCCAGTTTTTGCCTCTACTACAGGGAGTAGAGACAAAGGCACCAGCGAAATCAGGACTTTGTCTCTACCCCCTGTAGTAGAGGCAAAAACTGGAGCCCCGTCTGTTGTTTTGACCACCCCCCCTTTACAACAACCGCCCACATTACACCACATTTCCACCACAGGTATAGGAATCTGCGATATCCAGAAGGGGTTCTGATGGGTGTTGGAGGGGTTGTCTGGAATTTTGAGGGGTTTGCATTGGATACCCATACACTCAAAACTATAGTTACCAGTTGCTATGCAGTAGTTTTGTTCTGGCCTCGCAAATGCATATTCTGCTCGGCGGGGAACGGAAATACACACCAAATCCATTGAAAATACACACCAAAATCATTGAAATACACACCAAATGCACTGAAATACACACCAAATCCACTGAAATACACACCAAATCCACCGAAATACACATTAATCCACTGAAATAATTGAACTACACACCAAATCCATTGAAATACACACGAAATCCACTGAAATACACACGAAATCCATTGAAATACACACAATCCATTGAAATACACACCAAATCCTCTGAACTCCGCACCAAATCCATTGAAATACACGCGCAATCCACTGAAATACACGCGAAATCCACTGAAATACACACGAAATCCAATCCTTGTATGACACTCTATAATTAGGTTTTGCCATCTCCGTTTAGCATTTTGGGTTTTCCGAACCAGGGGGTTCGTTTTTTTCAGAACGGCGCATTCCCACTGTTTTTGTGCTTGCCTGTCGCCCTTACCACGCCTTTTGAGGTTTGGGGTTTGCCGCCCAACATTTGGGGAAATTGTGGCTTCGGCAAGCGTTCGAGCGGGTTTGGGTTTTTGGGAATTAGTGGTGAGTGTCATGATGGTCATGATGTTGATGATGATGATGACGGAGATGTGACGTCCGATTAACCCTATACCCTCTTTCTCATTCGTACGTTCATTCCACAGGTTCGTTGATTCTCAGTGATGTTCTCAGTGCACTGTCTTAGACAGTGCAAGAAGGCGCAAATGCTAATGTCGGAGCTGCAACATGATTGATGGTGTTGTGCACACGCCATCCCGCACGCTTACACACGCCGGCCGTCGACATACACTGTGCACACGCCTTCCTGCACGCATGCACTCGCCGGCCTCACAAACACAAACTGTACGCGCATACAATCGTAGTGTTAGAGCGTGCGACGATTGCGACTGAATTGGGAGGACCGGGGCCGCGGCTTTGTGCTAGTTAACCGGTGCCTACCCAGATTCAGTCCCATGGTTGAGGCTGCTTTGCACTCAATAATGTTGGATGGGGGGGTACCGGGGCCGCGGCTTTGTGCTAGTCAGCCGGTGCCTACCCCAATCCAATCCCAATGTGCTCCAAGGCAGTTGTGGAAGCTAGGCTCATTCGTTGCTGGTCAGGCCCACCAAACAGTATTGGATGGCGCAGGTTGCTTGCAATCAATTTCTTTCCTGATGCTCAGAATGCAGATGTCGCTTTATGTTTTTTTCCTTTCGGGTTACTGCTAGTGTAGTCCTGGCTTGTTTGTTGTGCTTCGGCGGCCATTCTTCTCTTTCAGGTTGTGCTTAGGGTGATCTTTCTTGTTTGCGCAATAGCTGGCTTTGGGTCACATGCACCACCACGGTGACCGTCGTCCCCTGCCGCGGGAGAAAGCTTCGCGGAGAAGGGACTACTCGCCTTCACCCAGATCTCCTAGAGCACGTTCCGATAGCCGATCGAGAACGAAGGCTACCAAAGCACCCCCGCCCCCCCGAGACGATCCAGGGCATCGTACACATTCACCCGTTCCTCATCGTGATCCTCGCCATGCTGACTCAAAGAAGCCCTTACGCGAAGCCTATGAGTCTGAGTACGAGTACTACTCTTCTTCCGAGGAACGGGAGAAGCCAAAGCAACCTGCGGAGTGGTTTGATGCCAACTCCCCAAACGGCACGCCTTTCCAATACGATCGCCATGGTAACACCCGCTTGCCTCCCAAATCCTCGTCGCTGCCCGATTGGATTCCTTGCCAATTTGGTGAAAGAACCTTCTGGAAGCATCGCGATTCCCACGAGATTACTTGGTCCAACCCGGTCACTCCCATAACTACCCGCCCAAAGGCATGCCCCACGGCTCCACGTGCTACACCTTCGACTCCGTGTTCTACACCTTCGAGGCCGATAGAAAAAGACGACGAGCGTGCAAACTTGCTAAGCCAGTTGCACGCCTTGGAAGCCAAGACCACTCAGATCAAGAATAAGTTGCAGGGCTCCTGTTCTCCACCGCCACCTCCTATGTCATCACCAACGACGGACATGAAGACCGACAACGCTTCGATCTCTTCAGGCCCCATTCTTAAGCTCTCCATGCGGATTATTGCGGGTGAAGAGGATATCAAGCATGCGCAGGAGAATTTCAAGTCCCTGCTCATCAAGAAGCAAGTTTCCCAACACCCAAATGCTAATTGCAAAGGCGTGTTTGCCAGGGCATGGCAATCCGAAATTGCCGTGTTGAACCAGTTAGAGGCCATGGGGATTCGCGTTATTGAGGCCGAGGATGTGAACTTGGATAGAATTCCTCCTTGCGTTGAGGTTGGTCGTGGTAATCCCGCCGTTCCTAGCTTCAAGGTTTGGTTCTCGTTGACGCCACCAGAGTCCCTTACCTTCAACTACACGGTCAGTGCCAAAAAGCTAGAAATCAACGGCGCCAAGAGCATGATCCTCAAACACATTGACTTGCTCCTCCAGTTCTTGGGTAACATTGCGGATATCCAGTCCCAGCGCGCCCGTCGAACTACCAGCGAGGTTGCACCAAAACCATACCGCAGCAAGAGAAGTGGTATCTGAGCCTTCCGGTGGCCTTGGCTGTCAGCCTTGTACCCTCTGGGTACTGCTGGCTCCCGGGCCCGGGGTAGGTTGCGAATAATCGTGTTGAGTATTGCTCACCCGCGGCCGATGCTTCCCGCCATCGCCGCTCAAATAATTCAGCCTGCTTTACTCCCTTGTACAGAGTTTGCTGTGACCCATATTGCCAGTCCTTTGCCCGCGTTGGCATTCCTGGCTCTTGAGTCTCCTTCCATTTCGATTGACGGTCTTTGGCCGTCGGTTGCCATTGTTGTGCCTTTCTCTTGAAGGTACTCGTGGCTCCCCGGCCTTCCGTCAATCTCCTTTGTTTTCTACTCTGCCGGGAGTATGCTTGGCTTGAGCTTGCAGGCAACTACCTCCATGTTACCATATGTTTCACATGTGGACGGTGTGGGTATGATTCACCGTTTTGGCACAAAATCTGCAGTGCCCAACTCAGGTAAGTAGCCACGTGTAGCACCGACTGACCTGCCACATACTATTGTTGCATTGCTGCGGTGAGTTCTCTGTGCTTGCATTCGTTTTGATTGCCGCCTGGTATGCTCGTGAATGCCTTGGTACTCGTACCGCAGCCTCTCTCATCATGAGTTCTGCCAGCGCTTCTTCTCAATGGATTAATCCTTTCTCGGCTTTACTCCGTACTTGGACTGATGATATCGCGGTTCTTCCACGCCGCAACCAGATTGCCTTTGCCGATGCTTTAGTGTGTGACTGCCAGACGTTGCTGGCCCTGCGTCCTCAGGGAGGCCCCGACGTACTTTCGAGCTCCTCTTTGCGCAGTAAGTTTTGGGATCTGATTCGGATTTCCTGCTCATTTCTGAAGCGAGAAGTCCTTTACCGTGCTCAAGAATTCCTGCCGAAGCACCGCTCTGAACACAGCCGCGTGACCATTATTGCACCGTTCACTGGTGGTGTGAGCCTCCGAAGCAGCAACGATTGCAGTATTCCGCCTGCCAGTTCTTCTCCTTTTTTCTCCTTCGGGTGCCTTAATCCAGGGAATTCGGGGTTCTCAGGGCTGTTTTCTAGAGAAATTCTTTGGTGGAAGCTTCTCGACTGTGCGAGCTTTTGCCGCGAGCTCAACATCAAGCTTCTGGTGCTGCCAGGCCCGCGTATGCCTGCAGGATTCCAATTGCCCCCTGATTACCCTTTTTTGTATGTGGGTGCCAGAAATCAATCTTGGAACACCGTGGGTGTGCTTCTTGCCAGAGATATTGCCACTAGGGTTGAGGTGTTAGAGCACGCTTCTACTTCAGATCGACGTATCTGGCTTCGGTTTCCACCGTTCCAATGCAGTGCCGCTGTCATGCTGTGCGCTTTCTACGCCCCGCCCACTGCCGGAGACAAAGAACCCTTTTTCCGCGATCTCATGAACGAGGCTCGTGCATTAAAGCAAACAATGCCCAATTCAGGTGCCGTTGTCCTCGTCGGAGATAGTAATATTCATCTTACTTGCATTGTGGATCATAGTGCATCCTGCCGTTGCCTTCACTGCCGGCAACCACGTGAAGATGCAGCGATAGAGCGCACTTTTCGGCATTGTGGATTCGATTGCCTTAACCCCATAAATACGCCAACGCATTGCAGTGAGACCTCCATCGACCTGGTGCTTACCACCGATTCTGAGTGCATACGATCCATCAAAGTTTTCCCTGTGGGCCAATTCCTCAATTCTGACCATAGCTTAGTTTTGGGTGATCTAGCTATTTCCGTACATGCATCGCCACAACTTCGCATCGGTCGTGTGGGTTGGCTCCCGGATGAGAAGTGGCACGACGTTATGCAGGTCATTGACAGCTGCATGGTTCTTGCCGCTGAGCTTGTGGAAGCTGCCTCCAGTGACCCTTCCCTTGCCTGCTCCCCTCCTTCTTGTAGTTTGAAGCAACGAAGATCCTGCCTGGATGCTTTTGATTGGCTTAGGGTTTTTGCTTTCGTTACTGCTGGGCACTTGGGTGGTATCGTTAAAGCCAGCTTACCGGCCGCTTCTTCCAGGGACTGCTCCTCTGATACAGCTTCCATCCGTGCGAAGCAACAAGGCAATTGGGCCAAGTATGTGCATTTACGTGACAGCAATCCAAGTGAAGCCGCCAAATTCCTGGCTAAGCTTTTGCGACCAAATATCGCAACACAAATCCGATTGAAGAATGAATCCACTGGCAAGCTCCTGTCTACAAGTGAGGCACTGACTGCAATCCTTGATGATATCACTTCCCGTCCGTTAGCCACGAAGGTACTCGTCACCGATAATACGTCGTCATCCCAGCAGGTCTCTGCAATTCGCGCTTCAGGCGCTACTGTGGATCCCCTCACCGAGGCCGAACTTATCGATGACTGGTGCCCTTTCACGATGGACGAGATTGACCTTTGCATTCACAACCTCGACCCAAGCAAATACGCATTCCGGGGTTGCTATGCATCCCTGCAGCACGCAGGCACGGGCACTCGCAGATTTATTCGTGCACTTCTCAACCTTGCGATGCAACTCCAGATCTGTGCATCTTCCTGGTGTGAGCGCGTTTATAACCCTATCCGTAAGAAAGGTCCTACTGTGGTTGTTTCCTTACAATGCTTGCGCCCTATTTCGCAGGGGACTGAAATGGCTGCCCTCTGTGATGCCTTGTTTCTCTTGCGTCACCGAAGGAAGCTAGAGCACTTCTGGGGTCCTTGCCAGGGAGGAGGCCGTGCTGACACTCTCAGCTTTGCGCTCGCTTTGTTGCTTTTCTGCCAGTTGAGACGTGCCTGCCAGCTTCCCACAATCATCAACTTTGCTGATTTGTGGGCGGGTTTTGACACTATTCCCACTTGCGATATTCTGTTGGGGGCCTTTCATGCCGGCATTGTTGGAAAGGCTTGGATGCAGTTAGACGATGAGTTACGGCTTGACAGATGCCGTGTAAGACTTGACCATGCAATTTCAGCACCTTTCACTGTCGTGGACGGCGTCGCACAGGGCAAGAAGGCTTCTGTCCACAAGTTTAACACTGCCGCTACGTTCATCAAAGACTGCATCTCAAGACATCCTGGGCGCTGCAATTCCCACAGGGACGTGGCAACATCGTGTACTGCAGCACGCAGAGTACATCAAGCCCGCTTTGCACGGTCATCATGACGCCGCCCTGGGTCCTCGCCTTGCCCAAGACGCAACTATGGCAAGGACCTCTGTGCATCGCTTTGCAGATGAGGTTGCGAATTTAGTTTTTTATGCCGATAGAGTCGCTTGTGTTGATTCCTGTTCCCCTAGTCGGTTAGTTTGTTTACAAATTGTTGACGATACACTGGCGCCGACCACTTCAGCGCAGCAGTCTCAGCTATTCTGGCAAGCTTGCGAAAGATACACGATGGAGCATGGACCGAAGTTCAACTTGGGTAAAACCAAATCAGCCATTCTCGCGATCGACATCCCTGCAGAGGAGGAGCTTGATTTGGCTAGCTGCCGCTACATGCAGTTGCAAGTACCAGTTGTCCAGCACTACACTTACATGGGCATCACCTTCGACGCCACGCTGTCCATGGACTCACACCTTGCAAGCACTCTGGCGCGGATGAACTCCCGCTTTGAGGAACACATGGCCTGCGGCGTCAATGCAGGCCTTCCTACACCACTCTTGGCCGCAATCGCTGACCAAGGCCCGGAAGCTGTTGGGTTCTACGGTCTGGCACTTTGCATTGGCGCCGCCGGGGCCGAAAGTAGACTTAATGCCATGCAGGCAAACTGGTGTCGTGAAGTTTTAGGTTGCCAGGGTCTCCCACAAGGGCCGCATTTTCCCATGCTTGCCGAGTGTGGAACTTTGCGCCGTATTGGTACAAGAATGCTTGGTGCAGCGCTCATGCTAGAAGCGCGTATTTGGTCTTCTGATGACAGCAGCCCATCTCGCATCATTTTATCTGCTGCCCGAAACATCGGAGGCGACCATTGGTTCAACAGTGTCCGTCAAGTTCGCCTTCGTTTGGGTGGTATTCCTTCTTTTCCAGAATGGTTGGAAACCTCGGGCTTTGACCTCGATCCTTCTGATACGCGTGCTCGCAAACATTTACTCAGCAGATACAAAGTGCGCATCGTCGAGCCTGCCTTGTCTGAGTATGACAACACCGCATTCTTGGAGCGTACAGCAAATTCCGACTGGCCTTACTATCAATTTCAGCCGCGCCTTGAACCACTGCCCAGGCATTTACTGCTTGCCCAATGGCCGCTGGGTACATGGCAAGACTATAAGATTTGGAGTTTGGCTCGCGCCACGGGGCGCTTTGCTTGGGCACCCCTTGGTATCCACTCTGCACCCAAGGTGCTCCCGCACTGTCCTTTGTGCCATTGTCGCGATGTGACGCTGTTACATCTGCTCAAGTATTGTATTCAAACACGATCGCTCAGGCGATCTTTCAGGATTGAGACCGTGGTCACCGACAGCATTTTTTTGCACAATATTTTCGCCACGAGACCTTCCACCGACAGTCGCCAACTGGATGGGCCAATCAAATTTACAGCAGAGTGTATTCGCCTGGCGGCTGCAAGGCTAGATGCACAGGCTTTTCCTTAGCCGCCTTCTGAAAGATGCTGCGCGGTTCAGGTTCAGCTTGGAGCTGTGTGCATCTCTGCCTTGTCTGCGTTGGAACCCTTCGCCCGTGATGGCGTAGCTTCCTGTGCAGCCTGCCCTCGCTTAAGCAACCTAGCTCCCCAGGCCCTCTCCGTCGTCTTGCCTCTAGATGTTTAGGCTCGCCCGGAGTTCGCTAGCAATGTTCTAGCTCCGCCTGACCGAGTCCCACAAAGTCACAAAGTCACAAAGTCACTGAAATACACACGAAATCCATTGACATACACACCAAACAGTATACATCACAGGCATCCACAGGCACTGTGTTGTTGTTGTTGTTGTTGGTGGGGGGGCGGTAAAACAACATGACGGGGCTCCTGTTTTTGTCTCTACCTAATGTACAGACAAAAAGCAGATATATGGGTTGACGGGGCTGCAGTTTTTGTTTGTACCTTGTTGTTGTTGTTGTTGCGGTCGCCCTCGTCCTCGTCCTCGTAGTCGTCGTCATCGTCGTCGTCGTCCCCGTCCTCGTCGTTGTCGTCGTCGGTGTTGCTATTGCCGCTGTTGTCGTTTTTTCTTTCTTGTCTTTGTTTCGCCGGCTCTGCTGGCTGGCACAGGCGCAGTGTCGTAGTCGCGGCGGTGGCAGCTTAGCTGTTTTCCTCATGGCTCAGAACGGGCACGTCTGTCGGCATTTTCTCTCGAGACCCACTGGCCTCCACGCGCTGACTTCTTCGGCTTTAAACTGCGAGTGGCGCTCAGTCTCCATGGTTTTTGGAATGCCGTTTCGGTGAAACTGCACTTGGCCAGGTTCGCTGCATGTGGGCTCTCTTTCAGGCAGGAGGCTGGCATTTCTTGCCAGCCTGTGAGAAGCTTAGTTTGTTGTCGGGTTTGTCTGGAAACTGCCGTTTGCATTCTTGATTCTCCAAGATCTCCAGCTCTTGCTGGATGCCGCTATGAAGTTCGGGCAGCCCAACATCTTTGTGCTAAGCTCAACGCTTTCAGTAGTGGGTTTTCTCTGACAGTTGCTGCCAGGGCTGTCGAAATGTTGTGGGGCCCCAATTTTGTTGTTTTAGTTTTCTGGGTTGAGCGAAATGTCATGTCAGTGTGAAACACGTGAATGTGCATCAGAGGCCATGTGTGTCGCTTCTTGTTGCATGTACATGCTTCCTTTCTCGAAGGCTCTTCTTTCCAAGGATGAAGATAGACGCAGTCCTGCTTGCATGGTTGCTGCGCTTGGCTGAACGGAGCTCCACTAGTGTTCTGAAGGCAGAGGCCTGTTCGTGCGAGGTCACGTGTGATTGCAAGTGCACCCCTGCTGAGAACTCTGATGTGCTCCTTGGCCTTTGTATCCTCCAAGGGCTGGTGATAACCATTCTCCTTGATACCTTGCTATATCAAGCAGGCCTGCTCGAAATGGTGAGCAGATTGATAGCCCGAGGAGGAAAGGGAGAGGATTTGTCCAAGTGCATGCCAGGCCAACATGTGGCTGCCTACTTCTCTGATGATGGGATGTACCACGAGCGAGTGCTGTTGTGGAAAAGCAGCGAGATGAAGTGGGTCATTGTCACACCTGATCATGATGTATACCTGCAAGATTTTTCGGGTCACGGCGATCCTGGATGTGATTATTTCGAGTCAAAGATGTAGATTTCAAGTATTGGTCCAGGGTAGGCGGATCCGTGTATCGTTTCAGCCAGGAACTCGAGGACGAGGAGATGAAGGAAATGATCGGGCTGGCCATCCAGGAGCTTGGCGACGAGGTGTTCGCCTCGGGTGCCTGGAGGCCTACAGGGATTCTTCTGAAGAACAAAGTGATAGCTGATCCTACCGTGTTTCTGGGGCGCATGCTAGTTCAACGGCGACTGCACGGCAAGGGGCCGGGAACTCGCGCCACCGGTAACCAAGCTGATGGAAAGCAGGACGCCGGAATCAAGGCTCCAGTTGCTCAGATGAGACCTGCTTCGGAGGGCTGGGTTTGGTTGTCAGCCGAACCCCTTGGGGGCCTCGTTCTGGGGCGGGAGATTTTCGTGAGCCCCGAAACAGATGTGCAGGTTGGCGAGAGGACAGCCTTGGTTCTCCGAGGGGGTGTCTGGGTGAAATCCGAGCTTATCAAAGTTGAGGACGCCGGCGATTTCGCAAGCAGGCGGCTGGCCTTGTTTGGAGCAGTGCCGCCGAAGGTTGAGGAGCCGGCGAAGGACCTCAGATTGATTGACGATGGTGGTGAGAGCGCGGCGAAGGACAAGGTCCAGGACAAGGACGAGGAAGTCCGTACTTTATGGGTGGATTTCGATGAACATGGAGACCGATTCAAGAGGTGGCGGGACGTATGCAAGGAGTCCTATACGCCAGTGTTCAGCGGCGTTCCCATATCCGGACCTTTGACCGCATTGCACTTCATCACACATGCTGAACGCCATGGGGGAGACGTTCGGCAGTGGTTTCAGCTATGGTGTAGGACGAAACATGTGGAACCCACCGATCGCATCTACCATGAGCTTATGGTGTTGACCGACGCTATCCATTATGCCGGTACGCATGACCAGGTCAACATCCCAGCACTCATCAGCCTTGAGATTGTCTGCAGGCGGGTTCAGAGTGTGGTAGAGGCACACACGAACCCTAACAAGCCGAGCTGGGAGCACGCCAAAGTGTTCCAAGGGCAAGGATCTCCGGAGGACATTGTGTCCCCAGTCTTCAGGAGCTACGCGATTAAGAAGAACAAGGAGGAGCTAGAACTCCTACAGGCTCGCTTGAAAGTTCGGGAGTTGCGGGGTGCTCCTTTGGCAACAGCAGATGACACAGGAGCCGAAGGCAGCGAGAGTCAGCCCTCGAAGACCAAGCCCCCGAAGGGTAAGGGGCGAGGCGGCAGGGGGCAAGACAATGCCTAGACATCAAGGCGGTGGCCAGGCCTGTCCCTCGGCCGGGTCACCTTTACACCGTGGGGGACATCATGATGGGGCGGTTCAGCCTGGCGGCGCTGCTTGGCCTAGTGGGCGCGAGAGGCAACTTTTTCCCCTACCACTTTTTGCAATCCCACCTTCTTTGCCTCACTCAAGTCGGGTGGTTCAGCAGAGGAGGTCTCGAATTAGGAAGGCTTTCGGCAACTGCAACGAAGTCGTCAAAGCCTTGAATTGGATGGCTGGCAAGACTGATCGAGATGAGAGCCTTGCCAACGCCAGCCCGATGCAGGTTCAGGCCTTGTCACGTGTGGAAGGTTTGGTCTTTGATCAAAAGCCCTGTGGTGATTTGGCCAGTCCGGAGGAAGCACTACGTTCGCTTCTCCATGGAGGTTCTCCCTACGATTGGGTACCCTCCAACGAAACGCTCGCCTCTTACGATCCTGACTTGCTCTTTATCCCTAGTGATGTCAGTGGATGTCCACCTTTGCGGGATGTCCTTCCTGAGAGTGATTGTCGTTATCTCGAAGAGAAATCAGAGCTGATGTTGAGTTCGGAGATTGAGCAGGAGGCTAATATGAGGCCTTATTGGGACCCAAAGCTCAGGTTCAACAAGAAGGCCTACAACGACCTTGTACGCCGGCTCGATGGCATTCATTACTTCATGTACACTACCAAGCCTGCCTGCAAAGTCGGTGTGTTTTTCGTTTGGAAGAGCTCTCGTACCAGATTGAGGCTGATAACCGATGCCAGACTGTCCAACGTCATGTTCAAGGCAGCTCCTGGTGTCAGCCTCATGAGCAGCGAGAGTTTTGGCCGGATTGAGGTCGTCTTTGAGAACGGTGTTTTCGCGGACCCGGATGAAATTGACAGGCTGGTCACCTACCTTGGGCTTAGCGATGTTAAGGATTGCTTCCACCGAATGAGGGTTCCGTTGTGGCTGGCTCGTTACTTCGCATGGGAGCCTGTTCCTGCAAAGGTGGTTAACCTCGAGAAGTCTTATGCGGATGGCAAGTTCGTTGGGCCCTTGGATCCCGTTTGGCCGTGTGCTGGAAGTTTGTGCCAGGGCCTCTCCTGGTCCCTTTACTTTGCGCAGAGGGCCATTGAGCGGATGAGCCATTCGTGCTCGCTATTGTCTGAGGCCCGACTCCTTCATGATCGTGGCCCTCCGCTTATACTTCGCGCGGGCTCGGAGGGTCGGGATATTACTCAGTTTTACGTGTATGTTGACAACTTGGGGGTCTTTGGACTGGAGAGGGGATGCATCGAACAGGCCATGCGGGAGCTGACGGAAAAGTTCAATGGTCTGGGACTTGAGCTCCATGCAAGTGAAGTTAAGAGTGGTTCGGTTGAAGCCCTTGGCTGTGCAGTGGATGGTGTAAAAACTTCGGAGCCGAATTACCAGTGCTCGACTATGGAAGGTACATCAGTCCATATGTGGCATTTTACGACGGGGCCGTTGCGCAGGCAGGGCCTTGGAAGTCCTGGTAGGGCATCTTAGTTAGCAGAACCCTTGCCCATTTTGGGTAATAATACCACCAGCCAACCCATTAGACGATTATTCCTATACTCCCCCCTACACCTCACCAACTATATCACTACTACTTCCCCATTACCAATAATGCCAATACCAGTATAGGAATAACCGATTACCTCATCCATATAAGAGGAATATTCCTATACTCCCTACTACAATCCCCCAAATATCACTACTACTTCCCCCATTACCAAGACCAGTATAGGAATAACCAATCACCCCATCTGTATTCCCTAAGGTGGTATTATCATCCCAAAATGGGCAAAGGTTCTCTCATAGATTTTACTAGGTTTAGGTTCAAAGGTTGTAGTCCTAAGCGTGTCTGCTGATGCGAACCACCACGACCACAACAACCACGACAACGGCGACCATGATGCCAAGGATTGGTTTCTGCAAAGGGGTATGTGTTGCAAGTGAACCGCCGTCAGGAAGCATGGGTTGTGAAGTCTGCTGAGTTCGGAAGCACATGAGCAAAACGTTGCTTATTTGTGTAGCAAAATTTGTTCGAGAGAGCATCCGCCCCTCACCGTCCCAAGCATTCTAACATCATGCCCACTTCGCGGTCAGCTGCTGATGCCTATTACTTTTCGTTCGTTGAGAAGTTCCGTCAGGGCAAGGACATCGCAAAGATCGCTTTGTGTCCATGCAGGGCACAGAAGCAAATCGAAGACCTTGAACGAACAAACAAGGTAAATGAAACCATCATCCAGAATAGCGTCGTTCACATTGACCATGACCCCAAAAAGTACCTCCCAATGCTTATGGAGAAGTCTTATTTGGAGGAGATGCTTAACTTCCAGTATAGCCTTCCTCGTGGAGATCACATGTATTTGTACGAAGGTGAGAAGATTGAGTTGTCTGACGAAGCTTTTGCAAGTCTTCGTAAGACATACATGCCAACATGGGATGAACGCAACGATCCTGAAAGTGTTGAGGACTACGTCAAGACGTGGTATGAAAAGAACCTCCCTGCCAAGCACTTCAGGTATCAGCTTCTTTCGGAAGCCCTCCCTGTATATTTGACTGCATATCAAATAGGTTTTCCATTCGAAATGTGCATTGTCCTCGCCGAACACATTGAGGAGAATGTGAAGTTTCCTCTGCCACGCACGGCTTATGATGTTGTCAAGGACATTGCAGATGACTACTTACGAGGTCTTTCAATTCCCGTATTTTACGAGGACGAGGAGGTTTTTGACATCAACCCTCGTGACCATTATGCCCAGACAATTGGCGAAATCATTGATGCCGCATGTACCAGTCAAGGAGGTGGTCTCAACCCTAACCATATGTATTTGAAGTATTATGAAGATCCCTTTGTTGAAGACGCTAACGTGCTTTGCCTATATGATCAAGATGAACAATTTAAAAGCACATTGAATACATCGTCTGGGGTGTAGGTGAGTTCCGTATGTTACCAATATTACAGGTCAATGCAGTGGTGAAGCACTTCCATGACACCCACACCTTCTATCTCTCAAAGGTCTTGCCGGAGTTCAACGTGAACAGGGTTATTGCTCAATTTCTGAGCCTTCATGGAGGTTTCCGCCTTCATTCTGACCTAAGCAAGATTGTTCGCGTTGAATTGAACGGGCAGCCTGTTGACCTAGATAGCCATATGGAAGATTTGGATTACGACCCCAGCATGACCTTCGACGTCACGCAAATTTCCAAATCATGTTGGGTGAGAGTGACTGTTGCGAACATGCCCCCGCACACCTTTCAGATGACGAATGTTGACCCTATGTGGCGTTTGTTTCGCTTCAAGGAGGCTGCTTTGAACAGGTTCTTCAAAAGGATGGGTGAGCGTGTTGACCGACGTGACTTTCACATTGGCTTTCGCAGCGGTGCTTTGTTGGACGACGAGTTCGTTTTGATGATGGACCTCGACTATGATGACCACACCTGTTTCGATATCATGCCTCGTGGTTTGGGTGGCGCACGACGTCCTCGCCAAGATCGGCAAGATCAAGTCAATGAGGCTCTCGCGAACATCTCGCCTGATAACCCCTTCCTCCATACCCTGCAGACCTTCCATGGCATGGTGAGCAACAATACCCCCAACCTCCTGCAATACTTCATCAACCAGATGTCGTATGAGCAGATCAGCGCCTTGAGTGAAACTTGGAATGGTTCTTCTCAAAACGACCCGCAGAGGATCGTCATGGAGATTTGGGGGCGCATGCACAATGATTTTCAAGCCATCAGGGAGATGGAACGCTATGTCGCATCAGCAAAGCGTGTCGTCACTCTCTTGCTTGAGACTGTGTATGTCAGGGAGCTCACCCGTGGCGAAAACATCGCTCATCGCCAGATGACTTCACTTATCAATGATCGCTACGAGATGCTTCACCAGCAGTTCGTCGAGCAACAACAACAACGTGATGAAATGAACCGCTTGGTGGAGTTGGCGCGACAACAGGGGCGACAAGATGCTCTCAATGAAAGCCGTGCTTGATCATCTCATGATGTGCGCATTCCGGATGCTGATAATGATCCAGACCCAGACTTGTGAACGTTCGGGAGTGAGCCGTTCACTGTGCCATCTTTGAACAGTTTAGGGTTCTAGACTTGAATAGTTTAGGGTTCTAGACTTGAATAGTTTAGGGGGTCATCTTGAATAATATTGTGTCTTTTGTTCGTACAGTCCACTTGGGGCGATACTTGGCACAGACAGGTGACTAATTCACAACATGCGTTCGTGCTCTTGCAAGTTTTTGGAGTTTGTACAGATTTTCAAAACCGTGGAGTTTCAAAACTTCACACCCTACATATTGAACTCTTTGTATACCTACACAATCATTCTAAACTCTTGCGCTGTAAAGCAGTGCAAACGGTAGTCTGTGTAGTCTCGTGCGTGTCCGTTTCGCAAAAACGCACCAGCACAGAGGCAGAAGTGCCAAAAAACTGTGGCGCTACTGATGCGATGCAACCCTAAAACCCTACCCCCCCAACCCCACTCCTCTCCCACTTCTGCCTTGCAAGGAGACTGACGATCTACATGCAACCTCGAGCCCTACAGCGCCACCGAGAACAAGCCGAGCCACCTCTACACCAACCAGTGCCTTGGTTAATTTTTATATATGTTTTTATATATAAAACGAAATCAAAAACATAAAAACGATAAGAACGACAATACAACAAAAAATAAACAAGAGAATCAGGTTTGACACATATGGTGTAGGGATTTTTTGGGCTTTTATTTGTATTAAATATTTAAAAAATATTGATACATATAAAAAACTCATACAAAACACAGAGCAAAAACAATCAAAAAACAAGAAACCAACAAAACAAATAGAAAACAAAATAAAGAATCAAGTTACTGATATATAAACAATATTTCAGAAAATGGAGCATAATATTATTAACATCATTAATAATATTATGATCATCACAGTTTTTGATCTGCTATATAATTGCATATTATAGTAAAGTCAAAATTTTGTTTCCGTAAGTGTATTTGATTTTCTATGTATGTCATAAGTATGTCTTTCAAAACATTTTTAACATAATCTTCGTAGCATGTTCTGTATGTGACTTTTTCCATCATTCTCTCCGCATACTGGAAACTAAAATATCCCATTGTATTCAGAATAAAGTTTCTCTTATAACTATCAAACATATGAAACATATTCGTATCATTTATAAACTTCTTCATTAGTAATTTGGTTGCGTGATTATGCAAATACGAACGTTCTATGATTTTCTTTAAACACTCTTTCTTTTTCTTGTTTTCTAACTCTTGGTATGATTTATCAACAAAGTTAAAGATACAATGTATTTGTTTTTCAGCCTTACATAATTTGTTATATTTATCTTGGCTATAAATCTTCTCATACTCTAGTATTTTTGAACAACAATGACAGGAAAGATAAGAGGTAATATTATCAGTAATATTTTCATCAAATATGCACGTCAGCACCTCTCGCTTTCTGTTTCTGTGTTCTTTGCATACCCCGCAGTCAAAATAGAAATGAAATGTTTTCATCATTATATTCTAACATATATAGACAATATTTCTTTAAATGTTTTTCTTAAGAAATTTAATTCTAAAGAATATTAAACTTTTAACAGTTCAAATCTTAAATAAGCTCTGTCCATACCTTCTACATAATAATGACTTTGACCTAATTTCTTTTCTATTCTCTCAACGGCATAGACGTTTTTACTCCAATTTCCAACCCTTTCCTTCTCATTAGGTTTTCGCTTCCTGAATATCTTGACTTCGTCACCCTTGTCAATATCCGGATATATCCTATTACGTTTACCACTACTCGCAATATTCAACCTGACGCGTAATTCGTTACTGGGTTTCCGTGCCTCTTTCGGCGTGAATTTTGTAGCGGAATGTATCATTTGGTTGTTATATGTCAGCAATATCTCGTGAATATAATCAGTCCATTGAATATTACTTTTCCCCTTTTTTTCGTCAGCCTCAACTCTTTTGTATGACATGTCCTTAAACGTTCTGATCGCCCTCTCACTAAAATTTGCGTGTGCCCTTGTCCTGTGGTGCTCTATTTTCTGCTCCTTTAAATATGTTTGTATAGCTTCTTTAGATAAAGCACCTTCATCGTTGGTATATATAATCTTGGGTTTTTTCCCCATCTTATGCAAACACTCAATCATACCACTCGCTCAATCCTCTTCTTTTTTACCTTTTATTGCTACGACATGCATAAACTTGTCAAAAACATCTATCATGATCATGCCAACTTTAAACTTTTGATCTTCCAAATCATTTATAAAGAACAAGTCCATTTGATACTCGTATGCCGAATGTGGTGCTACAAAACTGTTCTGTCCTACAGGTTTTCTTTTTGCCTCCACGTTCTTCTTGAAAAACTCGTTGACATCGTCTATGCCAGTCCGGGGCTAACCGGGTCCTTTCCATTATGGAACCGGGTCCTAGGACTTAGTGTGTTCTTGTCCTAGGACTTATGATGTTGATGTGACATGGAATGTAGCAAGACATGTGTTCTTGTGGCTCAATGGAAGACATGCTGGACATGTGAAAACTTGTGTTCTTGCGGCTCAATGGGAAACAAGACCTGAAAACTTGGTCTCTTCCAAATGGAGATGCATACCTGAAAAACTGTGTTCTTGTCGCTCTATATGGAAGAAGCGAGATGCTGGACATGTATAAAAAGATGTGTGCTTGTGGCTCGATAGAAAAATCAATGCCTGAAACTTGGTTTGATCGAAATGTGAAACATATACATCGAAAAATCAAAGCCCTACTGATATAATTGCCTGTCCCAAGTTTTGTAGTTCACATGGAAATTAAAGTTGCCAAAAAAATGAAAATACGTTTATGCCGAACAAACCAAACAAATGTAACTTGGTGTTCTTGTGGCTCAACGGAAACAAAAAGCTTGAGATTTTGTGTTCTGAAACCCTAAAGTCAGCTGTTTGTACGATTCAGAACAACTTGAAAATTAGCATGTTCATGATTAAACATGAAGGGAATCTGAACTTTCGTAACGTCCAGCCCATGCCCTAAACCCTGAACCCTAAACTCTAAACCCACCCAACCCCCAAACCCGCCCACCCATTCAAGCCCAGAAGCTGCAGGTAGGAAGGGGCACACAGGTAGGTAGAGAGGTATAGTTAGGTAGGCAAGTAGGTATGGATAAGTAGATAGGCAGGAGGGAAGGTACTTGTAGGTGTAGGTGCGTCGGCAGGCTTCCAGGTCGGTAGGTAGGTAGATAGATAGCTAGGTAGGCGGGCATGTAGGTAAGGAGGCATTATGAGGAAAGAGGTTTAAAACCCCTAAACCCCTAACCCCTAAACCCTGAACCCTAAATCCAAAACCCGAAACCCTAAACTAACCTTCAACCCTAAAAGGTAGCAGGCAAAAGTAGTTGTAGGCATTCGTGCAGGCCCTGTCAGGATGTCAGGTGGCCACATCAAGGTCTTCGGAGCCCCGTACAGGGGCGTACCCGCGCCAAGGCCTGAATGGGCCGCGGGATGAACCCCGAATAGGGGTGAGCTTGGACCCCGAAGAGGGGTCGTCGGAGCCCCGTACAGGGGCGTACCCGCACCAAGGCCGAAAGGGCTGCGGGATGAACCCCGAAAAGGGGTGAGCCTGGACCCCGAACAGGGGTCGTGAGAACCCCGTGCAGGGGTGTGGATGAACCCCGAACAGGGGTGAGCTTGGACCCCGAACAGGGGTCGTTAGAGCCCCGCACAGGGGCGTACCGATGAACCCCGAAAAGGGGTGAGCCTGGACCCCGAACAGGGGTCGTGAGAACCCCATGCAGGGGTGTGGATGAACCGCGAACAGGGGTGAGGATGAACCCCGAGCAGGGGTGAGCCGGACCCTCAAAGACTGATGCAGAGAGAGAGAGGGAGAGAGAGAGACACAGCGAAAAAATTAACGAAGCAAGGAAGGAAGCAAGGAAGGAAGGAAGCAGGGAAGGAAGAAGGAATGATCAAGATGAGGGTGTGACTGTAGATGCGAGGAATGAGCAGGCAGCAAGGAGTGATGTGAGGGAGGCGGGAAGGGAAGGAAGAGAAGGAAAGTCATGCATGGCATCAGTATCCCTCTGCTCACTTTCAGTCTGTCGGCGGCCAGGCTGAGACAGTCTGCGCATCGAGATCCTCGAAGAGCCCCGGCCTAAGCCACACGGCCTTCCAAGACTTGACGGCTGCACCATGGGTTGCTTCCAAGCTCAACATGTTGAACTGCAGCAGCTTTTCAGCTCAAGATTCAACGCGATCGAACCGTTTTTGTCTGAGCGAGTGTACTCCGACTGAGGCGATTGTCCTCATGCAAACAAGGCAGTATTATTGACATGCGCATACACGCAGATCGTCAAAGACACGACTAGGAAAGAAGTGCCCCAGTTCGACGTACTGCCACGGAAGTGCAGCAATGGATCGAACGGATTTTGGCAGGCTTCATGGACCTGAAGGAAGTGACGATGACGATCGAACGACTCCTTATCATTCGGATGATAGCGATGGTTCCGCGGCCGATGCCACTACGGAAATGGAAAGAAACATGTTTACGAGAGAAGAATTCCAGCGAATCTGCACCGACCTGGTGCTGGGATGTGTCATGATGAACTTGTCAATGGGATGGCAAATGGAGCGGGCTTTTTTGAGCGATCGGCAACTACGAAGTTTGCTACAGCACTTCCAAACCAAGCACAACAGACGCGGATCCTCTGCAGGTGATATTGTGGAAGCAGGTGTACAGGAACGGATTCCAACAATGCAGAAAGTACTCATGGTTCGACAATGCGACGTACTCCAAGGAAAGTTGCGAATGGAAGTGAACCCGGTAGATGCAGAGAGATTGCGGGGCTTGGTTGAGCAGCCTCCCGGCTGGGATTGGGATTTGCCTGATCGAGGAACCATGGAAAGGCTTTGCGAGGGCATTCTGGCCAACTCGTTTGAGTTTGAACGGATTCCAGTGACGGATGCTAGACGGATGGCAGTTCAATACTG